ACCTGACCGAGGCTTCGGATATGGGGATGAGTAGTATAATGGTATTATTTGATTATTCTCGAGATTTTGACTGTTTGGAAACTGAACTACTTTTACATAAGCTAAGTTGCTATGGATTCTCAAAGAATACATGTTTTTGGTTTCACAGTTTCCTCGCTAATAGAGAACAAATGGTAAAAACTGACGACAAATACGGCGAAAAAAAAAACGGTCGTATCTCAGCTCAGTTCAGCGCGGCGTGCTTCAAGGCTCTCTACCTACTTAGTGCAGTCCTATTTACAATTTTTACAGCAGATCTACCTAGGCATGTAAAGTTTTGTAAATATCACTTATATGCTGATGACACACAACTATACTACTCGTTTCAAAGTAAAGACGCTCGAGAAGCTATTGAGAAAGTTAATGATGACCTGAGAAGTATCCACACATGGTCTGAAAATAACTCTTTGGTTCTCAATGCAGCTAATTCTCAAATGTTGGTCTTAGGCACTAAACGCCAAATAAAAAATGTATTAGACGTTGGAGAAAACATTAGTTAAAATAAATAATGTTATTCTGGAACAAGTAACCTCTGCCCGTAATCTCGGCCTAATTTTAGATGGGGAACAAAAATTTATTGATAACGTTAATAACAAAATAAGGACAGCATTTTTCAAGCTGAAAACGCTCTACAAAATCAGACCATATCTTAAGGAGGATTTAAACTTTATGTGATACTCTGGTACTATCTCAATTTAATTACTGCAGTTCCACCTTTGGTCCAAGACTAAAGTTTAACACAGAGAGGGCAATACAAAGAGTGCAAAATGCCTGTGTTCGTTTTTGCTTTAATGTGCCCAAAAGAGATTCTATTACCTCGTACTTAAATAAAAAGTGCTTACTTAACATGAGTGCTAGAAGGGAGCTTCAGTACGCTTGTACAGTGCATAGGGTAATATGGAACAAAAAGCCTGAGTACCTATTTGAAAAACTCCTATGGATTAAAGACATTTCACATAGAAGCCTTCGTACGAACTCGTTAAACATGTTAAGTATGCCAAAACATAAAACAACGCGGTACAGAGGATGTTTAAAATTTTTTGCAGCAAGGATATGGAACGATTTGCCCCCTCCTATGAGAAATAAAATGAGTACGGATAGCTTCAAAGCTAAATATAAATCACGCATTGCTGAAGCACGCACGCACGCACGCACGCACGCACGCACGCACGCACGCACGCACGCACGCACACACACACACACACACACACACACACACACACACACACACACACACACGCACGCACGCACGCACGCACGCACGCACGCACGCACACACACACACACACACGTAAATTGCAAGATGATTAGTAATTAATAAATTATGATTTACAAATAATAAACCCTGTAATAAACTAACATCTCAGGGAAGAAGGAGTGCCTGAAAACCAGCGCTTCATGGGATCTAGTTCCATGTAAGCAAAAGCTGAGTCACCTCCGTTTGCCTAAATTAAATTAAGATTAAATAATTAGTTTATATGTATATATGTTTTTTTTAGTGGCAATAAAATGATATTTATTTATTTATTTATTTACTTCGAAAAGTTCGATCAGTGGCGTACCCAGAATCTTTGTGCCATTGCATGGTACAATTATGCCATAGTTCTTGTAAGACTCAAGGAGAAACTATTGTTAGTTTGGGTTATAAAGAAATAATATTTAGTTAACATTAATTTTCAAACTTTTTATATCCCCAAATACTAATGGTATTTTTTGTAAATATCTTATGTAACTCAGGCGAATGAAGAAACCTCTATAAACAAATAGATTAAAGAAAGAGTTGGTATGTGTTATGCCAAATAACAAACTGAGTTAAACATAGTAAATTATTGTTTAACTGTGTTTATATTAAGTTTTAATCAGTCAAAAGTTTACTGGTGGACACGGGCTTCTTCGGAAGTATTTTTGCCGGAAACGTTCCGCTTGGCAAGCGGATTGGAGATCGCAGTACGAGATGATGCGCGCCTTTGACGCAGCCTCCCGGTACCGTCTGTCTGGATATTGTAAGAGACTGTTCCCGTAGTCGCCTCTTACGATTACGAGACCATTGGAAAAGTATTAGGTGATTTTTAATTTTATTACGTCCCCAGACGGCACCTAGTAAAATTTTATCTTTTAATAATATTATATGTACTTTTTACAAAATAAATACGGAAGTGACAGTAAACATCGTATAAAATACCTTTCAGATTACCTTAAAAGATCGTGTTTGTGTGTTTTATATAATAATATTATATATGTGTTTAGTTTATTATAATACATGTAGGTATCATCTACTTAGTTTATTATAATAAGTTCGTCTTTATTATGAAATTAGCGACCCACCCTGCCTTCTACTAGGTGGGATCTGTGAATGCTATAACAGCTCATCTCATCAATAACATATTAGGTAGGAAGAAGTGCCTGAAAACCAGCGCTTCGTGGGTTCTTTATGGGATCCCATAGTCCCGTGTAAACAAAAGCTGAGTTACCTCCAATTGCCTAGATTAAGTACTTATTTTATATGTAAATTTGTTCTTCGAATGTAGCAATAAGTTTATATTTACTAATTCATTTACTTATGATGTGTTATTTAGAATTAAAGTAATCATCGAAGATAATCTTAATATATATAAATTACGTGTCACGTTGTTTGTCCGCGATGGACTCCTAAACTACTTAACCGATTTTAATCAAATTTGCACATCGTGTGCAGTTTGGTCTAACTTAAGAGATAGGATAGTTTTTTTTTGCCGATGAGTGAACCACAATCTTTTTGCGAATTTATGATTTTTAATAGGACATGACAAAGGGTCGTCGAAAAGGGCAGAACAACGTCTGCCTGGCAAGCTAGTTTATTATAAATTTTTCGATTACTCGAAAAAATTCTTCAATTTTTTTTTTCGGATAACATATAATGACCTAAATCAATCCTAGTATTGTCCTCTACCTGTTCGTGGTACATTACAGTACATACATTGTTTGCCGACATCATTAGTCATTACAATCGATTCGATCATTTTGAAGATTAATTCGGACAAAAAAAAATGTTTGCTCATGTTATGACATGCAAATATTAGGGGTTATTTGCATTGCATATTTGCACCATTATACCTAGACGTTTTTAAAAATTTTGTGTTTGTTTCTGTCTGAGATAATCTTCGGAAACGTTGCGAACAGTTAGGGACCAATGCCAGGAGTGATCCGGGCTATATTTCATCCGTAAAACTGATAAAATAAATGGGCTTTAGTGACCCCATAAATAAAAGAAGATATAAAAAAAACTTCGAACAATATTTGTTTGGTTTGTAATTTTACACAAAAAATTTAAAGTTTTGATACATAATCGTTTTTAATATGTTTTTTACTTCAACCAATGATGTAATATAATAATAAAAAAAAACATTGACTTCAACACCATTTTACAACAGAGCTATGAGTATTGAAAAGCAAGGTGATAAGACCATTTCTACATATATAAAATTATTTGATCTCTTTTTCTATTAAGCGTTTTCCGATACGCACATAGATTTCGAGATTATAGCAAAAATTGAGTTTAAAGTAGTTTTTCGGTAATTGAACTATGTGCTTAAGGGACCACTATTCAAATTTAATCAAAAATATTTATTCAGGTTCTTCATCATACATTACTGCTGCTGTTTTTTGTTTAAGTCCTCGCGGACGTAGTCCCGAGTATAAGCTAGTTTAAAATAAGTGTTGGATTTTGGATCATTTAGGCGGGTACTTATATATCGTGTACTTACATGAAAAAGTCCATTATTGGTTCTTATAAAATATTGCCTTCGGTGAGCGTACCATTTTATATTATACTAGCTTGCCAGGCAGACGTTTTCTGCCTTTTCGACGACCCTTTGTCATGTCCTATTAAAAATCCTTAAATTAGCAAAAAAAAAATTGTGGATTACACGTGAGCAAAAAAAAAACTATCCTATCTTTCAAGTTAGACCAAACTGTACACGGTGTGCAAATTTGATTAAAATCGGTTGAGTAGTTTAGCAGTCCATCGCGGACAAACAACGTGACACGTAATTTATATATATATTAAGATATGTACTTAATTTGTATATGTATAGTTAATTTTAATATTTGTGAATCGATTCGATATCATTGTGGTCATGTTTGTAATATATTTTAATTTTATAACCTACCTATGAAAACTTAGGTTTAGCTCTGTTTGGTCCCATTCGTTGTGTTTACCTATCATTTGGTAATAACTGTAAAACCTACTAATAAATCCATATTATATAAAGGTCTAAAGTGGGGCGTTTACACAAACGTGCAGTCAACTCCAACAATAATTATGTCTACTAAAAGTAAAAACGTAAAAGTGTTCTGACTCACAACTTTTGCTTATATTTTGTAATGAGCCAAACGGCCATTGTGCTGTCCATTGTTTGCCGACAGTTAACTGTGCAACTTGTTTATAGACTTTACCGTCTCAGCTTCCTAAACCTTTATGAATTGAACGAACTGAAATATAGGTTGTATGTACATTATAGTTTTGTTTGCATTTATTGGGTAAGCTATACGTATACACATATGTCTTATCTCTAAAAATAAACAAACCGTGATGTTGAATGTGAATATGAAGGTCTTATTAACTTCCATTGCCTAAATATGGATTTTTATAATGGTTATTTTATGTTCATTTTATTCTAGTAGTTTTCAAAATTCTATCGACAAGAAAATAATTCCATTATTGAAAAAATGCCTTATAATCATAAGAAATAACTTTCCATCTACGTTACTCGTATAATAATAATAATAATTCTACGATAATAATATGATGCGTTTTTTTCAGGTACGATAATACAGTATAGATATTTTCCATGTATCAAGAACATCGAGATCGAAGTTTAAACGCTGGAGGCTGGAGAACGAAAAATTTTCCTACATAGACCGTTAACCCGGAAAGGATAATAGAAACAATAGGGAACTCTCGGTTTCGTAGACAAATCAACATGCAGTTCGTGCGCGCGTTTTTCAAACGTATCACTGACGACCTAAAGCAAAAGAAGCTGATACCACTGAAGATTTTATTCTTTGTACACGCTTCTAGTAAGTGATGTGATCCACATATTTCCGCATTAACATCATTATGTAATTGAATCTTCAAGAAACAGTGACGATTTTTCAAGGAAAAATATTGTGTAGAGTTCGAAAGGTCGTGCTTTGAGTTTTTGTATTTAATATTAGAAAGAGTTAAATGAGAATACTGCTTAGGTTTTATTATAAAATGAATTTATTTACAACTAATAATTCAGTTGATTTTTATGGTTGGTAGCAGTCAGTGTGCGAGCGATGTTCACTTTGCTCTCTTTTTCTCATGTGGCCGTGGAAGCAAAAGGGGAGATCTCCCGCCGGGCAAGGTGTTCTGCCCGGGGAGCGACCAACACTCCATGTGATAGTTTTTTTTTTGCGTCCGAAGCAATTAAAGGGCTACCCTATACGTAGGGAGGCGGAAAATGCATTACGCATACCACGATAGCCGGTCTATCGTGGTTATGAGGGGCTCACTGTCCTACCGGGGACCCTAAGTGATACCCTCTAAAAACCGCCTTTGGGGACAGGCAGCCGGCTGATTAAGCTGTATTGTGCCTTATCGTGAGCACCCTCTTTTGGGAAAAGAGGGCGCAGGCGGCTAAGAGCCGCTGGGGGAGTGCCTACGAAGGCAAATTAATATTAGTTAATACAATAATTTAATTTAATTTAATTAGAGTTGGCCTGAGCCGCCAGGAGGCAGTCAGGTCGTTTGTCAGTTTATTAGGCGGGTCCGAGAGAGAGTTTCTCGGCCTGCGGACTCGATAGCGTGAGGGGGGTGGGGCTGCATAAGAAGCTGCCTCACGAATTAATTGGTTTGGGTGCGACTCTGAGGCTTTGAAGAAGTTCTCAGAGAGTTTTTTAGGTGATAGTTCGGAGATGTTCTATATATATACTGTTTATGATTCGGAATTTTGATAGCGTGATTTAGGCTTCGGTGTGTTTCGCTTGCGGCGCGACGACAGCGCCGCCACATCACCCCCCTGCTCAGACCGGAGGTCGATAGTGCAGACTCGTTGCCGACAAATGTGCAAGTGCCAGGTGATTGCCTTGTAGTCTGCGGTGATTCGAGAAGAAGGCAAGTAATCTGCGAGGGTACCGTGAAGCAGAGGCGAGCCTAAAGGCTCAGAGCCGTGGCGAACACTGTGGCGCAGAGAGTAGCTCGAAGGAACAGGAAGCATTATTATTCCAGTGCTGCGATGAACCTTGTGAAGCTAGATGGCTTGCAGGATATGAAGACTGCAGACGATATTTGCTCGGGAGCGAATGGGTGGGGTATTTTATGATGATGGATGAAGCTTGAAGTTTCCGAAGGTTGTTGGTATGTTGGTTGCGTGTTTAGATCACGTCGGGTGGTCACCACTGTGGCCGTGAAAAGAAAGGGGGAGATCTCCCGCCGGGCAAGGTGCTCTGCCCGGGGAGCGGCCAACACTCCATGTGATAGTTCGGAGATGTTCTATATATACTGTTTATGATTCGGAATTTTGATAGCGTGATTTAGGCTTCGGTGTCTTTCGCTTGCGGCGCGACGAGTGCGCCGCCACACTCATGTAAGCAATCATTCATCATTACAACCTATCGAAAGTCCACTGCTGGAAATAGAACTTCACCATAGAGCGCCTTATAGTGGGGATGTTTGCCAGAGTTATTGCGCTTGGCAGACGGATAGGCGACCGCAGTTTTTTACTTTCTAGTTTTGATTGCGTTTAGTATGTTCAATTGTTTAAGTTTTGGTGTTATTCCGTTTTGTGTAACTATATAAAATTAATTAATAAATTAGGTAAACGCTGCTGCCCACCTCTTGACTAATTAATCATTATTGGTAATAAATCAGGGTACCGCATTAAACATTCAGCGTAGGCAGTCTATTCACATATTAGTGTAAAGTGATGGACGTAATTACAAAATAATACCAAAATAGATTAAATTTGCAAATTAAAAGCAACTGTGATTATTTCGATGGGTTACGACCTCTTTGTACTAGTCGAATACTACTATGGGGGACAACATCCCGACACCGAATAATCGTAGAATGATGTAGCAAGTTTCTTGCGCTTTACTTAATCCTGCTTAAACGAGTGTGGGGTTGGGAATCTCTTTATCTCTTTCTATTTTATACCCTCCATCTCCGACATGTATATATCTACATATTATACCCTGTGTTTTATTTTAAAATTATTATATTTCTGATACTTATTCCAGGGTTCCAAATAAAATGTTCTCAGTAAATTGAACTGGCGGTGAGGGTATTAATTTAATTTTACATCAGCTTAACATTTACAGCACGCGACATTGAAAACTCTGTGCTAAATAGCTTTTTCAATAAAGCTTTATGTTTTGTTTTGTATTATATGTTTTCTCGACACACGTGTATACCGCGGTGTACATGTAATAAATAAATATTTCTCAAATCATATGACAAGAGAAAAGGGCAGATAAGAAAAGGAAAAGAGTAAAAGATTTCTTTACTTTATTATATAGTATATTTTTTATGAACATTACTTCTTTAAAATTTCCTACACTTTTTAAAAATACTTCAGTAAAATAGAAATTTACTTCACAGCTTTGTTCGTTCTCTATCCATATCTGACAATTCACATGCGCGAACTGGGCATTAATGTCGAGGAGACGGCCATTATGTCCGCGGTAACGCCGGTTATCTCCATAGTGATGCCGCCACTCGCCGGTATGCTCGCTGACAAAATTGGCAACTTCAGGGTGAGTACACGAGATCATAATGAAATTTTATTAATTATACATAAAGTATAATATGTTACAATTGCATTATATGAAAATAGTATCTTCAAATAAACCTCATATTAGATTTGGTGTTTTCTGAATTTAAAAAGAATATTATGGAGGATCGGTAGTTATTAAAGAATAGAATAGACGAATGAACGTTATAACTGACTTCATCATCATCATCATCATTACAGCCCTTCACAAGTCCACTGCTGAACATAGGCCTCCCCCAAGTAATGCCACAAAGCACGGTCCTGAGCCACCTGCATCCATCGACTTCCTGCATATCTTACCAGGTCGTCACTCCATATAGTGGGGGGTCACCCTACACCTCACCTACCGGTAGGAGGCTGCCACTCGAGAATCTTTCTTCTCCATCGGTTATCGGTTCTTCGAGCTATATGGCCGGCCCATTGCCACGTCAGCTTACTAATCCGTTGGGCTATGTCGGTCACTCTGGTTTTACTGCGGATATCCTCATTTCTGAGTATATCACGTAGAGAAACTCCGAGCACAGCCCTCTCCATAGCTCGCTGAGCGACCTTGAGCGTCCTCATACGGCCAGCAGTGAAGGACCACGTCTCAGATCCGTAAGTCATCACTGGCAACACGCACTGGTTGTACAATCTAGTTTTTAGAGATTGAGGTATACCTGACGAGAAGATATGTCGTAATTTCCCGAACGCTGCCCAGCCGAGTTGAATCCGTCGATTGACCTCTCGGTCGAAGTTGGACTTGCCTGGTCGGACTACTTGTCCCAGGTAAACGTACTCGTCAACAACTTCGAGCATAGTGCTCCCAACAACTACCGGCATAGGTGTGACATGGACATTAAACATAATCTTTGTTTTGTCCACGTTCATCTTAAGACCTATCCGTTGGGAGGCACTATTGAGGTCATTGAGCATAGTGCTAAGTCCTCCAGCGATTCTGCCATAAGGACTATATCGTCGGCAAATCGAAGGTGAGTGATGTACTCGCCGTTGATGTTAATACCGTATCCTTTCCAGTCCAGTAGCTTGAAAACGTCTTCCAATGCAGCGGTGAAGAGTTTCGGGGATATAACGTCACCCTGTCTTACACCTCTCTGCAGTTGGATAGGTTTCGAGCTCTGGTTCTGTACTCGGATAGCCATCGTAGCCCTACTGTACAAACACTTCAGCACTTCGATATACCGACAGTCAACTTGGCACCGCTGAAGGGACTGTAGCACCGCCCAAATTTCGACGGAATCAAAGGCTTTCTCATAGTCCACATACGCCAGGCAAAGTGGCAGATTGTACTCTTCAGTCTTCTGTACAATCTGCCGCAAGGTATGTATGTGGTCTATGGTACTGAAGCCTTTTCGGAAACCGGCTTGTTCGGGAGGCTGGAAGTCGTCGAGTCTGCGTGCGAGACGATTCGTAATGACTCTCGAAAACAGCACGTAACGCGGCTCAGAAGGGAAATCGGTCTGTAGTTCTTCAAGAGAGCGTTGTCGCCTTTCTTAAAGAAATGACCTTTATAACTGACTAAGTGAAATAATTTCCCTCTTTGGTATTTTTTATTTTTAAATAGATTGAAAGTTGTTTGAAAACTCGTGTGACAGGCTATTTAAAGTGAAAAATTTCCCAGCTAAAATTATAATATTCGATGTATTAAGCAATAAATTAAAAATAATTTATTAAATTAAGATAAATATAACTGTACAAAACAAAGTAATTGCGTATATATGTAGCGTTCCAAAAATACCATAGATGTACCAAGAAACGTAAATAATATGATTTAATAGCAGAAAAGAAATTAAAGACACAGTAATTTTGATCAAATTAGATAGATAGGTAACAGAGCTAATCAAAAGGTTAGCTTGTTAGTTGGGATTCAATTGTATAATAGGCATTAGGAAGAGTTCTATCAATAGCTTGTGGTTATATTCGTCTAACGTTCTGGTTAAATTTAATTGAGTTTATAATGGACAATGAGTGAATCGCAAATTACATTCAATTCTGGATACAATAACCTTTACCTTGTATTGTGGTCACGGCATTGTAGACGTAGCGTGCCCGCTCCTACACATACTTGTATAGTCGGTCACAACTCACAAGCTCACAAGTGCGTTATGCATCGTCCGTACAGGAAGCGTCGTCTTTGATATTTATTGCTCTGCAATAGTAGTGTGGCCTAAAGCTATTGTTAAAATAAAACTCTGATTGAGTGGATTGAAATTTAAAAATTAAAGGGGCTTAACAATTTTTTTTCTATTTTAGGGTTACGGACTTTAAAAGAAAAAGCGGATTCCTTATAGGATCACTTTGTTGTCCAATTATCAGTATGCCATATAATGTTAAAAGGGTCTAACCCACCCAGGGTCTAAAAGGGCTAAACTCCCAGGAACGGGAAGAGGTAATAAGTTGAATTCAATACCAAATCAAATGGTATATAGTCCTCTGAAGGTGTGAAAAATCTAGTATTATAAGTAAACGCAATTAAAAGAAACTGCCTTTTATATATCACACATTTTGATGCTCGCAAATTCACTTCTTAAAACCTAGAGTGTACTTCCAATTGACGTAGAATCATGAAATTGATCAAAAAGCAAGCTTTCGTAGCACAAGTAAAGGAAAAAATTCAAAATCATTAACTTCTGGTTATATCACAGAAAACAGTTTTCTGATACCTACTCCCAAACTTATTTATCAAAACCTGTAGGTTTGTAATATTTGTAAAAATTTCCGGATTGAGTTATTTCTGCTAAATAACACCTTCGAACTTTAAAGATTTAGACGTTATCTAACTATGAATTTTTTTTCGGATATTTATTTTGCGGCGACATAAAATTCGTGATAATCATCGTTCGCAACTTTAACTAACATACGGAATTTTATACCCTCGAATAGTTAGTTATTTCGTAACCTTTGACGGCAAGCCAAAACATCGTTCATAAAACATCGTTCATGAAGAACCACGTATATGAACGATATATCGATGTTTGAAAGAGTTGATGTATCGCTCGAATAAACGAGTAAATCGAGTGTTTTTTACAACTTTACGTTGCCTTAGAATCATGAAATTTGATAAGACGCATGGACTGACAACACAAGGACATAATTTGCATCCTAGATACTTCAAATTTGCAATTATTTAAAATATTTTTATTTATTTTTTCGATTGCAAACTGAGATTGCGTATAATTTTGCAGTTGGAGTATCGATCGTGATGTAGATGTATGCAGAATGTTTGTTCCATTGCAAAGTTAAGTTTGTCTTTCAATCCTACTTACGTATTCGTTAGAGCAATTCGGTGCTTACCTCGCCTATAATTTATAAATTTAACCATTTTTTTTTGTTAAATAGAGACGATTCACATAAAGTGATGTAGGTGTGACAGTAATTGCTCTTTAATAGCAATCCATTCTATGTATTCATACTGTCATTTTCCTTCATTTTCCGGTGTCTGCGTTTAACCTATGAATCTATTATGAAATGATATTCAACAATTCTAACGTCGTCGATGTACAATTGCGTCAGAAAATGTCGGTTCTGTGAATTTTGCTAATCATTGTTCTTAAACGCTACATCCTGTTTTTCTTGCAGTTAGTAATTTGCTTGTTTTAACGGCGACCTCTTCCCGAGTTCAATATTCACGAATAAACGCTGAAATAAATGGTTTAAATCTATTCATGTGATTGTATGTGTGCAGATGTTATGAATTAAGTTTCAAATTATTAACGTAGATATGAGAAGAAAGCTATAGTGAAAAGTATCTCTGTTTTGAGTATTAGAAATTAATATTAGTTTAAATGATTATAAGGATATCCGGGCAGTATTTACTTCATAGGAACGTATTCGTCTGCGATCTCTGTATAATCATACTAGAGCAAATATTTTACTTATATTATGAAACAGTCTATTCTCATCTATTCACCTGTTCCATAACCATTACAGTGTATAAAATTAAACAAAATATGCATAGATTGCCTCATGAGGGGATTTTGCCATAGTTGCCTTTAATACCGCCGTTATGTGATATTCAGCAAATGAATTTAACGAACGAAAAATAAAAGAAAATCATACACAGACATAGCCAAAAGGAATGTCCTTCTTCAAAAAAAATCTGTTTACTTTTCTGAAAAGGAAACAGGGATCCTGGATATCCTCTTAACTATCAAGCTTTTGTGTAAATCACAAGAAGAGAGAAGAACCTGCGTCTAAGAAATTCTAATTTTGGTCTGATCTACGCGGAATAAACTACCTATTAAACCTATTAAATAAATAATATGGTTTTTATGGCGCGAATAATTTTAAACAGAAATAGGTGTTGTTTTGCGAGGATTTGTGGTCTATCAAGTCTGGATTGATAGGATGGATGGTATCGATAGCCGTCTTGTATATAGTAACAGGCTTCAAATTTCCATTCACGAATATATGTTGAAATAAACGCGATATTAAATATATACATAAATAGAGGCCTTCTCTCATTTCTTTAAAGGTTATCAAGCAGTAAATCTGCTACGCTATTCTAGTGCATGCTTGCAAACGTCACGTGTTCGAAATATTTTTTATTCCTCACATATGCAGGTTTTCTTACGATATCTCCACAGCCGAGAGCTCGTGGTAAATCAGCACTTAAAATTGCAATTACCAATTTCAATGGGGCCAGCGAAGATCGAAGCAGTTGCTCGCATACAATGAAATTTACAACGAGCTCTTAACCCCCATCTTTTAAGTCAAAAGAGTATCCTTAGAATGAGCTATGTCCAACAGATTAATTAAAAAAAGAACGTTAATGATGATAACAAATAGAGATGCGCCGAGTAGCACTTTCGCCGAGTAACGAGTACCGAGTTTTCGTACTCGGTTCAATTTTTTCCAACCGAGTACACGGCCGAGTAACTAAGTTCAATCAAATTCCTGTTTTGGGCGTGTAAACAAGTACAAAAAAATAGAGCGCGATGATCCCTAAAGTCCCACTGCTTTGGAATTAGATCGCTATTTAAGAGAAAATTTGTTGGCAAAAGACAAGAGTCCTTTTGAGTGGTGAGCAGGGCACCAAACAAGGTATTAATAACTGGCACTTTTAGCACGAGTGTTTCTATGTGCACCCGCAAGCACCGTGTATAGCGAGTTATTTTCGGAGGCTGGTAACGTCTATGAAGAAAAAAGGAGTAGGATGTTTCCAGAACGTGCAAAGAGCATTGTGTTCTTACATCATAATTTACTTTTATTAAATTCTAAATATTGTTTTTTTCATTAACCTTTTCCTAATTTTGTCTCATTACTACTCATTCATTATCATTATTGTGACTGTCAAAAATTGCCTAAATTAATCTACCAAAATATATTGCTTTACTTAAACCGAGTATATTCGGCATTAAAACCGAGTTATTCGGCCGTGGTAGCTCAGATGGTTAACGCTCGCTGTAAATATAACAGAACGCGAGTAACCCGGGTTCGATCCCCGCCGGCATCAATGAAATTGTTAAATGCAATTTTAAGTGCTGATTTACCACGTGCTCAGCGGTGAAGGAAAACATCGTGAGGAAACCTAAAAAAATATTTCGAAGACATGTGAAGTTCGCCAACACGCATTGGGGCAGCGCGGCGGACACTTTCTTGCCCTAAAAACTCTCAGAAATGAGGAGAGGCCTGTGCCCAGCAGTGGGACGTATATAGGCTGTAACTTTACTATTCGGCCGAGTACAAGTATTAAAAAACCCGCCGAGTACGCCGAGTACCGAGTATTAACCGAGTACTCGGCCCATCTCTAATAACAAATAGAACTAAAATGTGTGTATTTAATTAGGTTGACTTTTGTAGTTGTTGCTAGCGCTGTCGTCGGCGTTGGGTGGTGCGTCAGCTCTGCTCCTGCTGGCGGTGCCAGTGGGACGTATCACGATCACCTTCCCGCCGGCGGTGCAGCTTGTTACGACCTGTGATGGCCATATATTACAACTACAACACGTCCAGGACTACCCCTGTATGCCGCTACATCCTTACGCGTTTGACGTTAATCTTACGTTAGTATATTATTATTAAGAAAAATTGTAATTAAGCTTATATTTATATGTTGTGTATGTAAAATCAAATGAATAAATGAAAAAGAAAAGTTATGATACGTAAATATTAGATAGGATTCCATTTCTACCTAGTCCGTCTGGGCACGTACTACCATCTGACTCATGTCGCCAAATAGCAGTTCTTGCACTGCTGTGTTTTGGTCTGAGGGTATAGAGAGCTACAATAATTACAAGCATACCACCTTATTCCTTCGAGGTGACAACGTATCTGCTGCCTCTCTCATTAAAGTAAGTTACAGGCGTCCATGTATTGCAATAGCCATTTATCATCAGGTTGAGTGGAAGCTTCGTTGTCCTTTCAAATAAAAAAAAAGTTGCCATTTGATCATTGGCGGATGAGCTTTCAGTATGGCACTTGAATAGGCTACTTACGTACATTTTTCGTTTTTCGCCTTTTATTAAAATCATTTTTACAATATTTAAATTTAGTAAAGAATTGAACTCTTTTCGGAACTATTAAGTTTTAAAACATTGATTGGATTGGAAAAAGAAAACTTTAGTGAATTAAACGTTAAGTTATAGTCTATTAGCGTCACAGAAACATGCCTTCTCTCATGTCTAAAAATGTTTAGTCTAGTAGTAAAGAAGTGCTCAACGTGCCGTTTAATGCGTATTGGAGAACCTCATAAAATGTCTGAATTTTTTTTGATAACTTATCAAACTTGCAGGTTTCCTAACGATGTTTTACTTCATATAGCGCCTGGTAAATAAGCACTTAAAATTTAAATTGACAATTTCATTGTTGCTAATGGGATCGAACCTATATTGCTCGCGTAGTATGACATATACAGTGACAGGTTAGCCCCTGAACTATCATCGCTCTTTAAAAGAAAATTTTTGTGAAATATAATTTTGTATTGTGTTTTGTGCTAAGTTGTATATAAATATAACGGTCCCGTAATGAAGGTTCGAATCCCGCACTGAACAAGTATTTGTATGGCCTGGCCTACAAATAACAATGTCCTTGTGAAATTTTTGTATATTAACTGTACACGATACGGGAAAAAAATCTAGTGTGTAAGTAATGTTTTTAAAACGACAAATAACAATATAAAATAAAATACAATAAACATGAAACTCTCGTCTATTTAAATTCCAATTAATTCGTCTCGTTTATTTAAATTCCATTTCCCGCCATTCTTTTAACACGTAATTTTTGCACAATTTGCCATTTTTTTAATAATTTGCATGCAGCGACGCTTGACACGAAAATTGGAAACGATTGATTGTGTTAACATTTATAGGTGTGAATTGATATGTTAGTGGCTACACGGGCTCCGCCCACTCCCCCGTTCTATTATGTATGACTGGTAGTGGCAGTCAAATTATTATAATCGTAATATTTACAATAATTTAAATCTGTTTCATACACTTACAATACAATAAATCAAAGAAAATCTAAAGAAATTGTTCGATCTAAACACATGATTTGTTGGCAATAGAGGTCATAAATCATAATAAAATGGGCAGTACATAAGTAGAATTAAGCGTTCTGGAAAGTAAACATAATGCGGACATGACCCTATTTACTTTCTGTTCTTATTCAGGATTTCGACATGCGGATTTGTTTGCGAGTTAACAAGCGATATCTCCTCTAAGGAAATCGAAGCCATGATTCACTCAGGCTCGTATGATGTACGATTACAGTCTGACAAGCACGACCAACGTCTTTTATACCGCCATACACTATTGTCTCTACGTCAGCCCAAAGCGCTTATGAAAGACCAGAGCACTTCCCGAATCATGACCGATGATCCATTTTTTAACACAACAGTATCAAAACTTTCCGATCATGAGATATTTTTTCCGACACCAAAGCTTTATCAAATGCAATGTTCACAAAATGGAAATAATGTGACGTGCCAATTTGGGAGCAAAGATTTTTTACCCGATTTAATAATGGAAAGTAATGTCCAAATAGCTAATACCAGTTTTCGTATGAGAATTTCGCATGACGTTCAAAAAGTCTCAACTGAAACCAAGAAGTACTGGGTTAATGCAGTATCAGCGATCAATGGAACAAATTACGATAAAGATTATGAGAGAGTTGACAGCACGACTTGCGAAGATAACTTTATTGGGGTAAGACGGTTTAAGATTTATTTCTTGTATTTGATAATGCAACTGTAGAACAATTAAGTATATTATATTATATCCCTTCTGAAACTATCGTCTACTTATGACTGCTGAATCTTAGCTCCGGTTTTGTAACCAAAATTACATATTATTTAACTCCGAATCTAGTCGTACATGTGATCTCTTAAAGGTACAATTTAAAAATATAGTTTTCGAATATCATGTATATATAATTTTTAAGACTCCAGAACACAAACAATCCTTTATAATTATTAGTGTTTATTAAATTGTCCATATGTTTTCGTACCCACTTAAAGGTGAAAACAATTAAAGGTAGGCCGAGCTATGTACATTACAATAAAAAATGTTCTGCATGATTCCCCACTGATACAACGATACCTTATCAGACTTTCTTCAATTTTTTAATAATATCTATGCATTCACAGACACAGGACGTTGAGAGCGTCCGTGTGCAGATTGGTCCTCGTCTGCTGACTAAATGTTCCTCAGCGTGCGCTGTTTTAACGCCTAGAAAAAATCTTTGCGAAAATTTTCAACAGCAAGTTGAACTTGACCCTTCATTTACATTCTGGGCTTATTTGGCTGTGAGTATTAAATAAATGTAATAAAAACTAACTATTTGGATAATTAGATTTTTCTGTATCAGCTTACATAACATTAAATTAGATACGAGTAAGTTAGAATCTGTGTCACTGCATTTATGCGTAAACTGCAAGGCTGAATCTAAATATCCAGATATCTTATAAATATTTTTTTATTCTTCCAGTAAGTGGGCGAAGAATTTTATTTTATTCATCCGGCTAACTTTATTTTTTAACTTTTTAATTTAAAATAGAATTTTAAAATAATTTACTTTAGGCATTTCGAAACTTTTGGCATTATAATTATTCGTCACGCACAATTTACTGGGCTTCTCTGTACCATAGTATAAGCCATACCATAATCCTACCTGTTTGCAAGTGATACCGACTATAAATCACGCGGACTTAGCTTAACAAAACCTTTTATAGTATTTGAAAGCAGTTCGATGTTCAAAATTGGCCAGAAACATACCATCGTATTAAAAAACAAGAGTAACTGTAAATTTCACTGTACACAAGCAAGCCTGCTAATAGCTAGTTCTTAGTTAATGTTAATTAGTAGACTTCTTCGTAATATTTTTATTCAACAAAAAATAAACCTGCAATTCTCATGGTGTTGCAGTTGTACATGGACGGCGGTAGTAACTTAACATCAGGTAGATTGTATACTCGTTTGCCCCCTCGCCTTATAAAAAAAATATAGGTGTCCTCACAACGTTTTCCTTCACCGCCGAGCTCGTAATAAATCTATGTCTGCGGTGACTGAGTCCGGCTTGCTTGTTCCATAACGCTCTCGGAAATGATAATACATTTCATTATCTACGAATGATACATAACTTTTAAATAAATTTGTCGGGACGATACGCGCGCCATAAGTTAACTAGGTAGGTACTATGCCTATAATCTTCGCGCAAGTACAAGCAATAATTTGATGAAGTTTTACCGCAATCTGATGAACGATATGGCAACACATAAAATACCAAGAAACATAGTTTATTTTAGAGTTACAAAATCCGCAAATAGTTTTAAAATTTAATGGTCATTCTTGAAGAAAGTTTTTGAACAGTCAAACAATACTAATGGTTTAATTAATACATAAGTAACTGATTGAACGGTGGTTTCGCTGATGGTAAGATTGGCTCATCGCCACTAACAGGGTAATGACGATCTTGATACATGACCGGGATCCGCCTAACATAATGTCTCCGTTCCCATTCTACTTCTGTCAGTCTTAGTCGTTATATATCTCCTGCTGGGTTTCTTGCTTCATCAAAATTTCTGTTCTGGTAAGAACGCTGGTTCCGAGATCTTCGAACCAGTGGTAAAAGTAAAAGAAAATTACTTGGAATAAGAATTATTTGTTATCTATATTTAACCAAAATCTGTACCGTTCCAATCTATTTCAGCCACGAATTGCCAACGTAAGATTTACGTTTTTACACCCATTAACAAATAAAAAAGTCTTTATTCTTATTATATGTATCATAATAAAAATGTATCTATTACTAAAATGCTTCTTTGAATTTATTTGAACTGAATATAAAAGTACACAAACAAAAAAGTAAATCCACCAATTATATAGCAATACTGTTTACCTATAACAATTCTCGGTCATGAGAGCTTTCACTTATCTTTAAAAATTTTATCTAGTAGAAGCTCTGTAACCTTTTATGTAAGTTGGTGATTACGTAATATGAAACAAACGAACATCAGCCTTGTCCCAGTTGCTGCGTATGTACTTCGTAAGTCTTCGACGCTGTTTGAAATTACTATATATATATATATATATATATATATATTTAAATACTTACCAAATGAGCGAATATATTTATCATGAACAATTTTTTTATTGTTAAGTATATAATTTCTTAATATTTACGCAAGTACTAGGTGGTAGGACTACTTATTTACCCAAAAGTTCGTCTGGGCTGGTACTTTTTGTCCGCCCTCAAACAGCCGTACGTATCCGCTCTGCTATGTTCCGGTCTGAAAGGTATGGAGAACCATTCTACTGGCTGTGAGGCATTCCATATTAAGAGATGACAATACATCTTGAACCATTTTTGTATAAAGTAAGCTTTTTTTAATTTATTTATGTACACACATCAAAATATAAAGGCAGTTTTATACTAAGTTCGTACAAAGGTTCTAATTTTTCCATAATTTGCTGAATAAAGGAAATTATATTAAAATGGCAAATTTAGTGCATACATTACTACTAATAATAAATAAATAATACACAAAATGTTACGTAAACTATATATAATAAAACTATAAATAAAAATAAAATAAATCAATAAATAAAAATAATAAATACGATAATTACATATAATATAATAGAATAATATATATTAATTAACAGGATGCAAAGAAGTTATCTCTAAGACGTTTCTTAAATACCAATAAAGTTTCACAATTTCTTATATTAGACGGTAGTGAGTTCCATAACCTTCATCAAGGCATCAAAGCTTCATGTGTTCTGGGTTGCGGTACTGACTAACCATCAGGTGGACTATAAATTTCTTTCAATATTATTAAAAAAAAAAAGAATTACGAATTGAACACAACTTATTTTACGTAATTTAAGTTTGATTTTAACTTTTGTTCAATTATTCATTACAGTCTATCAAAGGTCCACTAAACATAGGCCTTCACATAGATAGGGGTATATTTTTTATAGATTAAGGGTGACAAACGAGCACACGGTCCTCCTGATGGTAAGTGGATGCTGTGGCCCATAGACGTCTACATTTATCCTCGATTAAGAATCAAAACGCAGATGCGTTGTCACCTCTGAGGACTAAGATGAAATGCCTCGTTTCCAGTAAATAAAGGTCTCCGGATCTCTGCACTCACCAAACGAAACACAGCAGTATTAAGCTGCTATTTTACGCTGGTATTCTGTGAGAGTGCGGTCTTTTCGCGGTCGAGCCGACCAATTCGTGCCACAACCATAATATAGCTGCAGCGTGGCTCTACCACGTGTAAATTATATAGGGGGTAAGTAGCTGCAAATATTATCTTTTTATTTTGAATAGTTATCAGGAAGGATTTCTTTTTTTTTAAAGACGTTACCCACACTAGGATTTTCTCCTGTATTGTGAAGGTAGTTTACATACATAAATTGCACAAGAACAGACATCCAGACCCTAAACAATTACTTGTAGGCCATACAAATACTGGTTTCGTGCGGGATTCGAACCCGCGGCCCTCAGCGTGTTCAACTTCTTTCTAAACCATCGCGCTACGGAGCCGTCAAAACTTGTGTCATCTCTTACGACTCCCACGGGATGATTTGAGGTGGTGGATCTTCTCAACTCTAACGGCATCTAACTTACTTATTTAACTAAACAATAACATAAGTATTATCGTAGTTTTATATGTTATACTCCCTTGTATCAAGGGATAAACACGTATTTTAGAGCATTTGAGTTAAAGGCCAACAACAAGTGAAGGTTAAATCGTTACGAGTATGATAGTGTGTTATGTTAAATTCCATCTCGTCAGTAAAATAACAACGTTCAACCCGCCATCAGATTTATAAACATTATTGCTCTTTAGACGTGAAACGTTAAGCACCTGTAAATACATTATATATAATATAGTGGGACTTTTTAAATAACATTTAGCGCAGGAGATTAGAATTTGTATGTTGTATATTGATATTAGGCTATAAAGCAGTCGAAAACAAGTGTTCCTAAAACATTTTTACACTGCTAGAAAAAAAATTCCCTGTATAATTTTATTTTAATTTACTGCTTCGTGGCCCAGTGGCTTAGCAAAACAGCGCTAAGGACGGCGGGTTCGAATCCCGCACGGGACAAATATTTGTATGGCCTACAATTCATTGTTCCTGGTCTGGATGTTTGTCCATGTGAAATTTATGTTTGTAAGCCACCCCCCCCCCGATACAGGAGAAAATCTTAGTGTAGAGGTAACGTTTTTTAAAGAAGAATAAAGAATAAATTTTTAGGGTTCCGTACCCAAAGAGTTACCAACGGATCATATTACTAAACCTCCGCTGTCCGTCCTTCCGACCGTCTGTGTGTCAGTAAGCTGTATGTCATGATCCCTAATAGGTAGACAGTTGAATTTTTTATAGAATATGTATTTCTGTTGCTGTTATAACAACATATAATAAAAATAAAAAATATTTTAATTTTTACTACCTACTAGAAACTGTTTCTACGGCTTTTTTTTTTGCTCGATCTTAATATTAGATTTATATAGATGTAGGCGCTTGAAATGCTCACAAAGTTTGTATTGCAATATTCGCTAAAAAATTATGTATAGTAATTATAAACAGGAGTAAGTGAGGCGTTATAAAGTTAACAATTATAGCGTCATACTTGTTTCCTTTACAAAAGTATTTAAAAAGTACCCACATAGGTTTAAATCTCATACGATGGTACGGAACCCTACATGCGCGAGTCCGACTCGCACTTGGCGTGTTTTTTTATTTCAATCTCGGCTGATGTTTTGCTTGTCCTTATAAAAAAGTGTCCGAGCCGTCTCACCACATCCTTTGCCATAACCATCATCATCATTATCATCATCATCACCATCACCATTATCATCATCACCACCACCACCATCATCATCATCATCAGCCTGCAGCAGTCCACTGCTGGACATAGATCTCTTTCTTGGTTGTTCTTAATTCTCGTCTTTTGGTAGGTTGGTTTATTTTCCGTCCCTTGGTATACAGATATGTTAGACCATTCTAAGGTTGAATTTGACTATTCTTTTTCTCTTCTTTATTTTAAACGTGGTAGAGCCACGCTGCAATGCGCTATTGTAGCTGCAGCACGATTAGGTCTGCTCTACTGGAGCGAGAACTCGCTTGAACAAAAACCAGCGTAAAATAGCAGCAAGATGAGAGCTTTTTTACTGGTAACAAGGAATTCCATCTCAGTTTATCTGTTTCATGGGCTAAGATGCATTTTTTATTGATTCTTTATTGTATTCCTTAAAACAAAATAATATAAAGGGCGGACTTAATGCTTTGAGGAATTCTCTTCATTCTCAACCCATGGAGTGTTGAGAATTTGACTTAGGTGTAGAAATACCCAGTAAAATACAAAATAAAATCTTAATTTTCATTGTTGATGGGGGATAAAATAATGATTCTTAATGAGCTTCTATCGGCCACAGTATACATTCACTATCAGTTGGATTATAAGCTAATTCTGATAGCCTTACTTCTCTAAAAATAAAACGTAGCCAGATTAAGCCGAGAGCAAGTACAAAAGTTAAATCCTCAACTTCATATGGTGCATACTCTCTTAGTCAATTACGATCACGGTGACAATTTTCGGAAGATGTCAAATGTCATCTATGTCTACGGATATTTATTACTTAATTTTTATTTTTTATAATTTTTTTATTTTTCTCGGTACTAGTGAAAGTGGATAAAGACGTTATTAAATTGATTTATTTATCGTTAATTGTAACTATACTAGCAAAGGACCAACGAAAACACAACGTACCTTCCTGTATGAGATTTTGGTTAGTACAATAGGAACCTACATCCTCACACTCAATTAAAAATATAAATGCTGTAATGTATTTTCACTCTTGCGGTCTTGCATTCGATCCGAATGGTACTCCGTTACTCTTCAAACACTAATCTAGTTTTAAATGCTAGTTTTAATTTGTATTCGGCTCCACCACACATAAAATTATATATTTAGTATCATATATACAAAATAATTTACTTTTTATTTAATCACTATATTGTGAATAAAATTTTGAAAAATTAAAGTTATAAGGCGTACGTTACACGCTCATACAGGCGTCAATCAATTCCATCGATCATGATTGATAAAAGACGGATGGTGACTGACAGGCGTACATTACGCGCTCATGTAGGCGTCAATCACTGCATTGCACGGTAGGTTATTCGTCAATCACAACCGTGATTGTTGTAAAACTGACAGCCTGCATGAGCATGTAATGTACGCTTAAATTTATATGCCAATCGTAGGTTATTGTCAACCTTCGTTTGTTTTACATATTTAGTGTGTATCGGCTTTCATATTAAGGCATACATTACACGCTCATGCAGGCTGTCAGTTTTACAACAATCACGGTTGTGATTGATGACTAACCTACCGTGTAATGCAGTGATTGACGCATGCATGAGCGCGTAATGTACGGCTATTCAGTCACCATCCGTTTTTTATCAACCATGATTGATAAAATTGATTGACGCCTGCATGAGCGTGTAATGTACGCCTAAAGGAAGATGCCATATATGCGTGTTGTATTCATCATCATCATCATCATTACAGCCCTTCACAAGTCCACTGCTGAACATAGACCTCCCCCAAGTAATGCCACAAAGCACGGTCCTGAGCCACCTACATTCATCGATTTCCTGCATATCTTACCAGGTCGTCACTCCATCTAGTGGGGGGTCGCCCTACACTACGGCTACCGGTATTGTATTGTATTGCCTTAATAAAATTAAAATTATGTTAATATTAACTGGGTTATTTCAGTTTTGATTTTTTTTTAAATTTAAATTCATTTATAGGTTCGAGTGTTCATTGGTATTATAGGAGGTACGGCGTTCGCAATGTTCGAGGGTGCGGTTATTGCCATAATAAGAGAACAGCGTGCCGATTACGGGCTGCAACGTTTGTACGGTAGTATTGGTGGCATGATCTCATCCCCTCTCTCTGGATTACTCATCGACTATGCAAGCAGAGGAAAAGGATATACGGATTTCAGGTATTCAATTTTGATGAAATAAAATACGTTTTAATGCTGTATAACATGTAATTAGAAAAACGATGAGTTTTCTCAATTTGACTATGACGGTGTTTAAACTTGGTGTTGTGGCGGCGTAAGTGCTTCCCCTATCCCATATCATCCGTGGGTGTCCTAAGAGTCGACAGAGGGAAACTGAAATAGGAGCTGTACAGCGGCATCTATCTGACGAAAAGTGAAAAAGTTAAGAGTCAAAAGCGATAAAAAAAACAAAAAAAAAAAAAAAAACAATAAATTCGGAACCCCGCGCGCTAAAAAAAAAAAACAAAAAAACACGACGACCGAGCCCCGGGGGTGGTATCCCGGGGGGTCCATTAATATGAACTGCGTTGGGCCAACCCACCTGTCTAGTGTAACAGCTTTGGCCAACATCCACACTATTAATACCATTGAATGCAATATTACACAATAGAATGGCTGTCAATTTTGTACGAGGATCGGTGTCGCCACATACAAGCAATTACGTCGTATTATCACTACTACAAACACATTTTAGGTTTTTGATTAAAGTTTTTGACACATAAATATTTCTTTATTTTTGTTTCTAATATTCACAAAATTTAAATAGTTTCGACTTACTGGTTGTAGAATATATCTCGATTATTTAAATTCCATTTTCCGCTGTTCTTTCGACACGTAATTATTGCACAATTTGCCATTTTTTAAATAATTTGCATGCAGCGACCCTTGACACTAAAGTTAAAAACGGTTGATTGTGTTGGCATTTATAGGTGTGAATTGACATGTTGGTGAAAACACGGGCTCCGCCCACTCCCCGTTCTATAATGTATGTATTATAGTATTCTATGATTAATACAATCCGTGAGAGAGGACTATGTTTAGGAGTAGATTTTTGTAAAGCTGTATGAATGAATGAAAAAATATATAAAATTATGTTATTTTTTAGTTTTCACTAAACAATTTCTTTTCGTGCGCGTTAAGGAATAGGAACATAATTCTGAAAAGGTTTGTTTTAGTAATTTATTAAAATTTTGCTACCAATCAGAAGTTAAACATAATGAAGAGTTACAGAAAACAATAACCCATTGTTTCCAGAGCTTTATTCATATATATATATATATATATATATATATATATATATACGTATAAATGAGGTTTTTATTGGCAAGTCAAAATGGTAATATGATTCGTCTTCGTGTTCAGTAATGAATACTTGTAACTGACACCGGTATATATGGTATTGCGGTGGATTATAATAGTGCTTTAATAAAGTAAAGAAATAACTTTGAAGCATTTTTTTACATGTAGAGCCATGCTGCATATTTATTAGTAGTAAGATTGTAGCACGAACGGGGAAGGACCACGCTCTCACAGGATACCAGCGTAAGATAGCATCTTAAGGCTGCTGTGTTTATATGGTGAGTATATAGAACCGGAGACCCATTTTACTGGAAATAAGGCATTCCATTTTAGTCCCCTCGGGCGACGACGTATCTGCATTTTGATTCTTAATCGCGGATAGATGTAGATATCTGTGGGCAGTGGCGAAGCTAGGGCTCCAAACTAGGGCAAGCCCAAGATATGGTTTTGTTGTTTTTAGCAGTTTAATAAAAATACACCAATCTTGAGCTGTCTCCACTCTTTAGTTTCATATTCAGTGCTGACAAGGACGTGTTTAACAAAGCACACAGAAAGCATACTACCGCTAGATAGATTGTACGACATAATACGCAATTGCACACCTTCTGTGGTTTTGAAAAGAGCCGTTCGGGTTTGCTTGAGATATTTACAAACAATACAATACATGACCAAAGTACAAACAAACTATGTACAAAGTTAAAAAGGGACGCCTGGCAGATGTGAAACCTCGAAATTATATTTTGTGTAAGCCATATGCATAAAAGAACTGATTACAACAGGAATTAGATAGTTATAATGAGAAGATAAAGCTTTGCTAATTTTTTACCATAAAATAATGACTATTTATTATAATTATAATTATTCATTTTCAATTCATAATAAACCGTACAAAATGATAATCTCATATGATTAAACTCATATATCACTATAAATTAGCCGATAGCGTATTTGTGCCACCTAGCGTAATCTTTAGGTACCATCGTGAGAATCAACCAATTTTCGTTCGATAAAATGACTTTACGTATAGAATTAAGTAGATGGCGCCATTAAAATTTTATATACTGAAAAGTAGACAGAGAAACCTAACTGGAAATAACTAAAGGGAGTACTATTCTTTGAAAACCTCAATACATTCTTCTGTATTCTTTTGATTTATTTAATTAAAATTTGGGCTTCACGTTAAAAAAAAGATTGTAACACTTATTTCCTCTAAAATTAAGCCTAGGTCTCATACTTTATACTGCTGTTCAAATTGGCATTTTTAATTCATATGGTAATATTAATATTGAGTTTTTAAACCTTTAAATACGCCTAACTTAATTAAACTTTAATACGAAAGAGTCATGTACCTATTTGTAAAGTATGAAGAAATGTTTATTGAATATTAAATTTCATTTTTAAAGATTTTTACCTTTTCTTCGCCGATTAGCACTTCAACACACTTATATTCATCACAATGAACTCCTCCCATTTTCACTGAAAATCTTCGAAAAAACATAAATTTTTAACAAACACAACAAAAAAAAACATAAACATTGAAATGTGAAGTGAACTTGCATACGAGGGGCCCGCAACCACTTCGCTAGTCGCTAACGCACTCCTAAACAACTTCATGGCAAAGCCAGGCTTGTTGGCTCAATAGTAATTGCTATATAAACATTTCGTAGTTATATTTCATTATAGAATATTTTGCCATAGTTTAGAAAGAGAGCGATCGTCTTCTCGAAAGCCCCGTAAAAAGCCCACGCGAGTGATCGAGACAGCTAATCGCTCTATTAAAACTCACTTTATGACAGCAGCAGTATCGCCGCAGAGTACCTTTGTATAAACGTATCGCTAAGGCAATACGAGGTCATCGGTCGACATGTGTTGAACAGTGGAGTGCGCGGGAAAATTGAAATAATTTGAAACAGTTTAGGAGTTATTTTATTAGTTGATATTATTGATTGATATTATTGATTAATTCAGTTTTAATAAGGCAAGCCCGGCTTTTCGGCTTTAATGGAAGCTTCGCCACTGTCTGTGGGCCACAGCAACCACTTACCATCAGGTGGACTGTGTACTCGTTTGTCACATTTTATGCCATAGAAAAAAAGATTCGATAGGCTTCCTCTGATTTTTGAGAGTCTATATAAAGTTTACCATCTCCCACTCTTTGGTAGTGCGCTGGATTTGACACCATCAATACACTTGGTAGATGGTTTGACAGTCGAAGTACCAGACGTGTCAAATCTTGGACGGTGTTCTGGGTTGTATTTTATATCTGGTAGGTAATAGGATTTGACTGTGCAAACAACTATAGGAGATCGGAGGCTATTGGTTCTTTGTGGCTGACAACAGTAATTGTTTCATGGGAAAATGTATGATGACGGTAGCTAATATAATAGGCGACGATGAGAAAAAACTTATTCTTTTAAATATATACACATATCTGTTAATATAAAACGATATTTACAGGCCTGCCTTCTACCTGTATGCAGTATTGAAAGTCCTATCCGGGGTATTGATGTTAAGTATTGATCTCGATTTCAAGCAACCGGCTCAGAATATTCTCGAAGATGTTATATCCGTTTTTCGAAACGTTGAAATCGTAGCGTTGTTCATTGCTTGTTTCATAATGGGTAAGGAAACTTCAGTTTTTATTTATTTATTATTTAATATATATAAATAATATTGTGAATTAATAAGTGAATAATAAGAATAATAATATACTACACCCCGACCTTTGGTTACGACAGGCAGTTTCAGTAGAGACTAGCCATCTGCGCCGGATTAGGGGTGCCCAAGAATATGCGCGAGCACAAAAATGTACTCTCTATTCCCTCACTTTCATAGTACGATGGGACGGTAATCCAATACATTAGGAGAGAGATCAGGCGCAGAACTAATGACTTTAGGTACTTTCTGAGGCACGGGGTTGAAACAGAATCAACTTCCCGACTCTGGATTGATAATGAGAATTTCTTTACAGAAAAACCCAATAACTGATTTTGACTCGGCCCGGTTTCAAGCCCGGGACGACATGATCAGTAGTCGCATTCTCGATATCTAGACCACAACATATCAATTGACAATTACTAATAGCTTTTATAATAATAATATATAATATTTTATATTATCAAATATTTAAAAAAACGTACATTACGAACTGTCAGGCGTCAGTTCTCAACTACGTCCCAACGGTTAACATATTTAATAACTCTGATGAATAAAGTGTACATTTTATAATCTATACGTTACCTTCATATTACTAAAAGAATCACGAGCAGCCTTTAGGCAAATAAACGTAAAAGATTAAAATAAATCGCCTTCTATGTACTGCCTTAGTCGAAATAAGGTATTGTCATAGAATAGCATTAATAGAAAATTTTCGTGTATTGCGACAGAAAATACAAAATACAGCGATTATTAGGCAGTATGCTTAATATCTCCGTTGGCTTAACTTTTTCGAAAAATATAAGAATTACTAATAGTGAATTATAATTTATATTTTTTAACTACATCATCGTGCATAAGCATAATAAAAGTAATAAGGGTGGGCCCGAGCCACTGCTGCTGTTTGCGCCGATATGGCCTGCCCACCACCACCATGCACTTGTCACTTCGCAAAATGTAAACCGGGCCTTAGGCTGCATGGCATTGAGTTGCTGCACTAAGAGCAGAGGATTCGAATCCCGCACGAATGTTTGTCCTTGTTCAATTTATGTATGTAAACTGCCTCAGTGAAACAGGAGGAAATTCTAGTGTATGTGTAGGCGTGTGTGTATGTAATGTATTATAAAAATGATGGTAGGTAACAGTTTTTGGTAATTTGCTTGAAATATTGAATATTAGACTAGTGTTCATTATTGAAGGGTTTTCACTGATTGCATAGTTATTAATATACGAGTATGGTTTTTATTTTCTGATCGTGCCCACGGCTCTATGACTTTATTCCGAAATAAAACATATTATTCTCGCTCCGTGTCGATTGACCTACTGGCTAACAGATGGTCATGCATACAAATCATCGTGTTATTCGTCATGTTTTCACGCCGCTCTGTCTTGTTATTAAAATAGTTACGTCGACAAAATATTTGTGCTTTCAAGCTTAGAATTTTTGTTAAACTTATTCTCGAAGAATTATAATTTTTGAAACCATAATATTTGCTCTTTTATAAATAAAGACAATGTGAAATTTCCCCGTTGGTATTCATTGGAATATAGCAGAATATAGATATATTTCTATAACAGAATATAGATACTTTCTATATATCTATATATAGATATATAGAAAGGCGAGACTTTGTTGTAATCCCGACAATCATCAGAATATATCTTTTGATATTTCTTACCTTCTACTATTCTTAGTTCGTAGACAGTCTACAGATTTTCATGAATCTTTTATCTATACGGACGGCTTAAGAATATCTACTACCCCATATCATCCCGTGGATATCGTAAAAGAAGACAGAGGAGATCTGAAATAGGAGAAGGGCAGCAACATCTACACTACACTGGTGATGATAGTGACAGCCTGCAAACCGCCTATGTTCAACAGTGGATACTATATGCTGTAGTGATGATGACGTCGAAATTCAAATGAACAAAGTTTGAAGGTGTAATAATAGGATGACTTAATTTACTGTGCACTTTCCTTGCTTTCCTTTTTTTCAACACGCAATGAACCAGTGAGACGGGCTTTTTCGGGCCTCCACCTGAACAGTCGCTGGGGCTTCGAAGAACATTTCGGGCGCCTAGTCCCCCGGATCGAAAGGGTAGCCCGTGCTATAAATAGACTGTTGCCCGATCTAGGGGGACCAATGGAGAAAGTACGTCACCTCTATGTGGGAGCTATTCGGTCCGTAGCTCTGTAAAAGGCGCTTGTATAAGAAAAAAGACTGGTAATCCAACGCTGTAGACCTTAAATCTACAGCGTCCAGCGGAGGATGAACATACATATTATACGAATGTGCCGCATTATATCCTTTGAGGTGGCGATAATCCTGGTTGGCTTCTCACCTCTAGACATATTTTCGGACATGGACGGGATGGTGTATGACCGGATCCGTGCCCTCCGCCAGAGCGGTGAAAGTGAGCTAGATGAAACGCTCGAATTAATTAAACGTTAGGAACGACGAAATGCTTTGGCAACTTAACGCACTCGACTTCACGAGGAGCGCTATGAAGGCCAACGCGTCATTGGAGCAACCCTGCAGGTCTTTAAAGTCTGCATGCTGTGACGAATAGGATGACTGATCTACGGACTTATACAGATAATTAACGGGTACGGGTGCTTCAGTGATTATCCGTGTAAGATCGGAGCGATGCGATGGTAAGCTGCTTCCATTGTGATGGACGGCCAAGATTTCGCATCCCATACGCTCGCATTATGTCCAGGGTGGTAACGGGAGCGGACAATCCTGGTGAATTAAATTGGATGGAATATCTTTCCGTTAGCAGTCGTGTCGGCGATGCTGAGCGTGGATTCGGCGTGGAGGGCCGTAGGCTCTTCTGTGAATTCGTTATGATCCAAAAGGAGGCTGCTGAGTAGGATCGGGAGAAGGTGGACCCTGCTCGGAGACGACGTCGCCAAGGCGTACGTCACGACCCTTATTTTGAAAATAGTGTTTCCCTTCCTGACCAGGCCCTACCGAAACACCTTGATAGCACTACGAGAGTGCTGGGGGCAGCGAATACTGCCCCCGGGACATGCTAATAGTGTAGCAAAGCGATGTAGGGCCTCCTGTTGCTTTCCGAATGGAGATCGGGACCCTTTCGTTCGGGACCGTTTCGTTGTGGTCGCCAATTTTCGTGGGGAAATCCTCCCCAAATTGGCGATCACAGTATAGGAAGTCAACTCCACATTTTCGAGGAATTTTTTATTTAGTATAAAAGATTTATGTATCGGTGGACATAAGATTTTCCATAGTTGTTCTTGATTGAAACAGGGTTGTTTCTTTGATGGTCTCTTTCGCTGCTATCACACGGCACATACTCATCTTGCAAACATAGCATAACGTAAATTATCCAAACATGATGATGACAAGTTACAATTCGTAGCCTCGTATCATTCTGGTAACGGTATGACACTGGTGATGATAGTGGTTTTTGAATGATAGGCTTCATGTAAAAATATTCACCATTTACTTATCTTTAAATGTTTAATTTCAGGCACTGCATGGGGATATATTGAAAGTTTCCTGTTTTGGCTTCTGCAAGATTTGGGTGCATCGCGATCCTTGATGGGCATTACCATCACAGTAGGCGGTATTGCCGGGTTGCCCTTGCTGGTGTTATCAGGTCCTATTATAAAAAAACTGGGTCACGCCAATGTTCTCTTCATCGGATTCGTTTTCTACGCCATTAGACTACTTGGTAAGTTTAATTTTTTTTACAAAAATGAAAATGAAAAACGAGCTTTCAGTTGTTGATCTGATTGTTAGTGGCTACTATAGCTCATGAACGTCTGCAAACAACTATAAACAAAAAGGCTTCAGTTGAGTTTTGATCCCTGAGAACCAAGATTAAATGTCTCACTGCCTGTGTTTTACTGGCTCTGTAGCCTTAAAACCATAACAAAACAATGATATGTCCTATTGCTTGGCGGTAGAAATAGGTAACAGAAATAAAGAATTTTTGTAAAAATATAGAATTTTTGATATATCGATAATTATAAAAATATCAATATCGGAGTTGTATATATAAGTTTATTTATCGATATATCAAAACTCCAATATTTTAAATAATATCAAGAGTTTTAGTTTGAACTGATCAGTTGAAGTGACCGTGTGTGGCGACCATAAGAGGGTAAACCTATCCAGATGGGTTCCTAGGTAGAAAAAGACCAGCACCACCTAGTAGTTTTTTCTGAACTTGTTTCAAGAATTTTCTGTAAGTAATTCGGTATAGAGAAAGTATACTAATATTTTATTATCTATTTCAATAAATTGTGCCCAGGATTTTACTTGCGTGAAAGTCGCAATTATAATATATAAAAGTACCGGACAGTTTTAAAAACTTGAAAATGATGTAATTTATTAACAAACCTTATAAAATTAGTGTATATGTTATACAAGGACCTTTTATCTTACACTATTAAATTTATAATAATGGCGGTGTCTTTGGCATTTGAAAGCTTGAGGCGACACTTCACCGATCAAACCTATTGTTTGGTTCAAAGACATTTAAATTTATATATGAGCGATTGTTTATAATTGAAATAAATGTACGATATGGTAACCATACAAACTATAGATGGTTTCGTGTGTTCCGTTCTGTGTGAATCATAAGAGGAAACTTTAGGAAAAGTGACAAATACTTCTGACCTCAAATGGACGGCGGTATCACTATCTCGTAAATGCTTTGGCGTTATCTTCCTAACAAATAAATGGTAATATTGAGATAATGAGTAGTCATTTATTAATTAATATTTCCTTAATTAACAAAGCAAACCTTTTCACGTAAATAAACACATTTGTTATCAAATTGCTATCAGCTTTACTTGTGTCATGACGCTAGAATATATTAGGTTTTATTAATTTAGTTCGGACGCGTATCAACAAAAATACAAATACGTACTAAATTAATGAAATCTTAAAATATTATTAGCACCACCTAAGCTAGGTTGTGATGCGCTATCGCACCAATTACCATTTATATGCGCCTCTAGAACCTCTTAATCAATATTTAGGATGGAACCAGTTTCTTCTTTACTTGTTCAAGACTTGTTAAAACATGAAATTAAAAATCTCTACAAAATTACTGTCAATTTTAGGTGATTCTTAAAAAAAATTGCGCGTATGAATCACTGTATCATTTAAATACATTATTAAAGGTTCGAACGGCACCAAATATAACCCAACCCACATTATAAATACTGACAAACTCAAGAAGCAACGCCCTAAATATGAACCCAGCTCTACAAACCGTTACTAAGTATATGCCTTTAAACAGTTAGTTTAAAATTTTTAGGAGTTTTTGGTCGGTTTTCTAATAGTTTCTTTGGTCAACTTTATATACTAGATTTGATAATAGAAATAACGTTAACATCATTCGCGTATACGAATTGGTTATACAAGGTTATTTTGCAATTTACGCCCAAATTTGCAGAGCAGTTACAGAATAAGTAATATAGGCGAATAGTGAAGAAAAATTAATGAAAAATTACCAAACAATCCGTCCTTTTCATTTTTTAAATTCAAAATACGTGGTAATGCATTATTTTAACGGATTGTCATTCATAAATATCTAACGTCTACTATTTTACTACGCACTTACACATCCGTAAGGATCGCTCGGCCTGCCAAAACGTTGTGAATTGAATTGATACGCACACAGAGAAGCGCGCGCACGCGTAGTTGTTGTCTATAAATTACATCAAAATTACTATACAAAAACTACAATAACTGTATATCATAATTCATATATTTAAAATTAATTTTAAAATTTGGATACTCTTTGAAAAATAACCCTGTATATGGTTAATGATAAATTAAAAGGGATTCATTCTATTTAGCACAGTTGTACTACTAATTAGGCAAAATTCTAATACTATTACTATATAGAGTAAATTCTATTAACAATTTTGTACACCTCACCTTAAATCCTTTTAATACTACTTTTAAACTACTAAAACACAACTACCTACCGAGCCCAATTTCGAATATAAACCATATGAAGATAAATAAGATTTAAGTGCCTTTGTAATAAAAATACTACTTTTATAATAAAAATAATTTTGTCTCTCACAAAGGACTTCATTATTTTAACAGTTACCTTTAAATTGCCGTAAAATAATAACTACATGATTAATTGGTAACCATTGGGTTATATGTACTACGTACTAGAGAAGCTATTCCGAAGAAAAAATATGCACTACTGTGTATCCGCACATGCGCGGGAAACAGTAGTCGCGCATGCGCAGTTAACATAAACGCGCGAAAGTTGTCGTAATAAATAATTGTTTATTTCGGATTGTATTGTTAATCGAGAACATTTTTTTAAATTACGTTTATTTCGCATATTATGTGCTAATTTAAAATAAAATTATTATTACCGCCGCTGCATGAATATCGAAGACACAATAACAGATGTACTGATTGAGGTACAGTTCAGTTGAACATAGTGAGTGTTCGGAATGCGAAGTCTAGTGCGTAATACATATATATCGATGTTGGCATTGAACTATTATGTACTACGTACTAGAGGCGACACTGCATTCAGCTACTCTGTTCCACTCAACTACGGTGCATACACCGCACTTTAATCAGTCACTCGCTAAACGCTTGTAGAGTTGTCACGTGTTGTGTTGATTTAAAAAAAATCTCTTGATAAAAATATGCCGTCGTGTGTACTTAGATATTGCACAAATAATTAAAGAAATGTCAGTAAAAACCAAGGAATTACTTTTCATCGGTTAATAAGATACTTAATCAATAAAAAAGTATTATAGATTAATAATAAAACAAATTATTCCTAAGACGCCATCTCGTGTCATGGAATATAGATTATGAAATTAATATGTTCAGATGGGACATTTCTGTGGAAACTTAAGTATGGGACGAATATTTTATTATACAATTTTTTTTCTAGAAACATATATAAGTTATTATAATTAGGCTAAATTTGTCATGTTTAAATATGCTTATTATTCTTTTATTTTATTCTTAGGTTTCCACTTCTAAGTCAAAGTGGAATAAATTCGTCCATTTTTAACACTCGCGTGCCCAGCATTTATGAACGACTCTTATTCTAATTTAAATGTTATGTTAATAAGTTTTGTTAAACATACATCATTCATACATCATGCTATAAGCAGAAGTGCTACCATGCCTGGGTTGACGCATCAACGTCCCCGGATGTAAACACCAGCGTTCTAAAAAAGAAGTATAATTTCGCCTCTAGGTCCTTCAAAAGAGTCATTGCCAAGGCAAAGTCAGAGCACATAGGCAGAATTGGCGAGAAACTAGTTCGCCTTCCTTCTGGAACCCGTGCATTCTGGTCTCTCGCCAAGGCTGTCCAGGGGAATTTCTGTCAGCCATCTCTTCCATCTCTGCACAGGGAGGAGGACTCACTGGCCCATACCGCAAAGGAGAAAGCCGATCTGCTAGGCTCTTTCTTTGCGTCCAACGCGACTCTCGATGACGGTGGGAGTACGCCACCGACCATCCCGCGGTGTGAGTGCTCCATGCCGAAAGTGCAGTTTACACAGCGCTCGGCTCGCAAAGCGCTCCTCTCGAGTGGGCCTGACGAAATCCCTCCAATTGTGCTGAGGACGTGTGCTCCAGAGTTGGCACCAGTTTTAACGCGTCTTTTCCGGTACTCCTACTCCTTAGGCGTAGTCCCAAAATAATGAAAGACGGCTTTCGTCCACCCGATCCCTAAAAAGGCGACCGCTCAGATCCGTCCAACTACCGGCCTATCGCCATCACCTCTTTGTTCTCCAAAACAATGGAGTCTATTGTTAACTGCCAGCTCATGAGGTACCTTGAGGATCACCAGCTGATTAGTAATCGCCAATACGGTTTTTGCCCTAGTCGGTCAGCTGGTGATCTTTTGGTCTACTTAACTCACAGATGGGTGGAGGCAGTAGAGTCCAAGGGGGAGGCATTGGCCGTTAGTTTGGACATTGCGAAGGCCTTCGATCGGGTTTGGCACAAAGCGCTTCTTTCGAAGCTCCCTTCCTATGGGATGGGGTGCGTTTGGATTACCAGCTTTCTTGCAGATCCTCCATCAAGGTCGTTGTAGACGGCAAGCTCCGATTACAAGCCTATTAATGCTGGTGTTCCACAAGGTTGCGTGCTATCGCCAACGCTGTTCCTTTTGCATATAAATGATACGTTGTAAACTCGTAACATTCATTGCTATGCAGATGACAGCACTGGTGATGCTCTTTACACTAGCCGTGCCAATATTTCTCGAGAAAACGTCTCCAAGTACCAGGATAAACTTGTGTCTGAAGTCGAGTTTTTGCTGAACAGAGTCTCGGATTGGGGGCGACTAAATCTAGTAGTAGTATGTATGAGGATATTTCCAGAGCCATGCATTCCAAAACCCACTACACGGTGTTGATGGGAGATGAACTTCAACGCAAAACTAGGCGCTGAAGTTAGGGAAATTTGGAGTAGGATAACGGAACCGAAGGGGCTAGCAGCTGGCCAACTTTATGAAGAAAGAGGGACTCTTTATGATGAACTCTTTCTTCCTCAAGCGGCCCCACAGGAAGTGGACCTGGTCGAGCCCCGACGGTTCGACGAAAAATGAGATTGACTTCATTATGACGACCAGATGCCAACTGTTCAGTGATGTCTCAGTGATCGCAAGGGTGAAAACTGGCAGCGATCACTGAATGGTTAGAGGCACACTGAACCTAAACG